TATTACCGAGTTTCAACAGACCATCTTTGTTTGTACGTCGGGAAAACTTTATGCTGGGACTCAATAGTAATAAACTGTAATCTATACTGGATCACAAACAAACCAATGAGTTTGTTAGTCGTGTAAATTTTAATCAATAATTGATATTCAGTCACTTGCAGCTGTGCTTCTCAGTGCAAACGTTACATAAAAAGAATGATTTGCATGAAATCAGTCCAAGAAGAAGACATTAAGAAAACTTCATGATTTCTGTATGTGACACGTGTTCGTCTCTGTAGGACTCTGACTCCCAGATGCCGGACATACTTTGGCACTATGGAGGCGAAACACTGCCTCCCTCTGGCTGCTGCGAGCACAGACACCCACACGGCACAGACATAACACCGCCTGCACGCTCTCTTAATTCTTTAATTTGTGGATTATTGTTCTGTCTGCTGGTTTCATTGTAACCACAGTGACAAAGGCTCCTGAACACGAGCCCAATCAACAGTCAGAATTTTGTTTAGCTGCTCTCATAGAAACACTTAAAGTTTAATCAGTTTGACTCCCGTCTTTTGTACTCAGAGGTCTGGATCCTGGATTTAGAGGGGAAAACACTTCCCGTCTGTTTTGGAAAGTTAGAAATCTGTCCCCACATGTCAGAAACCGTTGGCTGGTCACAGAAACTCTCAGAGTGAAGACGAAACCTTAAATGGTGCAAAGGGAAGTTAATACAGACCGCTCGAGCTCGGTGACCCGACCGTCGTTTCCATAGTTGTGACCTCTGAGTGAACACATTTACCTCTACAGAGGAGCTGCATGGTTGTAAAGTAGCCCACATCAAAGCCATTAAAACCTTATATCGTGATGACATTTCTCCATTTCTTTGGTGTAGAGGATCATTTTGGGATGTAACTCCTGTCTCCTGTAACTATAACAACGACAGTAAACGCACAGAGGATAAACAAACAGGCTTCACAGAAGCTGAAGAAGGCGTGCCACTACTGTAACAAACAATTAACTAGGGGTGGGGGAAAAATGGATACTGTGTAGCATGGTGATATTTTGTTTGCTAATAATGTATGGATACAGGGACAGCAGAAATCGATACTTTGTTACAAAAAAGGTTTTTGTGCTCTGACTTCAGAGCATGTTGATCCTTTTTCTGAGCAAGAATCCTGACATTCCTTCACTCT